TGACAACTGTGCCTCAATTAATACATAGATGATCTTATTGAACCAATGTTTCTAACAATACATTATAATAGAAAGCCCATGCCATGAAGAATTTTTATATAGTATAATTAGAGCTGGTGAAGCAGTGGGAAAATATAGCTGGACATTATTGTAATTTGACAGCAGATACATATTTTGTCAAATGAATTATTTGTTAATATTATTTGACTCTCTGTGTATGAATAAATAACCAGTGCTGCATCTAGTCAGATATCCTTTCTTTGGAATGACCAGTGCTGGATGGTTCATAAGAAATCTTAAACATCACCGAATACACCTGCTATACTTCTGCAATACACCTATGTTTGGAGGGGCATCCCTTCCTCACCTAAGATTTTGATATTCTAAGTCTCCTCAGCCTGTATGTCTCAGGTAATGAGTTATGGTAACGTGTAATTTATAGTCGAGCTAGGAGACCTCTTAGAACTCCCCTGGGGCCATGTAAAATCCTTTAATATTGGGCTGGGACTAGATGGCATAACTGAACCCATAGGGTATGTCTACACTACCACCCTAGTTCGAAGTAGGGTGGTTAATGTAGGCAACCGGAGTTGCAAATGAAGCCCGGGATTTGAATTTCCCGGGCTTCATTTGCATGTTGCCGGGCGCCGCTATTTTTAAATGCCGGCTAGTTCGGACACCGTGCCCGCGGCTACACGCAGCACGGACTAGGTAGTTCGGATTAGGCTTCCTATTCCAAACTACCTGTACCCCTTCATTTGCAACTCCGGTTGCCTACATTAGCCACCCTACTTCGAACTAGGGTGGTAGTGTAGACATACCCCAAGTGTGTCTAAAGTTTAGAGCAAGCAAGTTAAGTATTCCTGGCTTTACTTCAACATCATGTTGGGTGAATTACTTTGCTTCTGCACTCCTTTTTGTATCCTTCTCTCACAGACATAATGAACCAAGCCCATAAGGGTGGAATGTGGCTTATTGCTTATTATATTTGCATTTATTTTTGTTGTTGTTATGCGACATAGTATTTTGGAATATCTGCCTATTACTTTTCAAATGGCAGTTTCCAGGAACGTTACTGAGGGTTATGTCTACACTACAGTATTATTTCGAAATAAGGTATTTCAAAATAACGTGTCTACGCACAAAATGCATTTCGAAATAGAATTTTGCTATTTCGAAATAGGGCATCCACAGAGTAGACTCTGAATCGCATTTAAGGCTGGCCGGAACCAGTTCCAGCAGGGCACCAGGTCAGGATTTACTGTGTGGGGCTGCTGCCTTAGGCTATCTGAGGTCTGTGCTTAAAGATACTGCCCCCCGGACAGCCAGTTCTCAGGTTTCCCTGCTTGCTTGTCTACCTCGATGAGGGACAGCTAAGCATTTTTGTCTCTACGTGCTCTGATTGCCCTCACTTGGGACACCACAGCATTCTACAACATGGAGCCAGAGCTGCCCTTGGGCACTCTGGTACTTTTCTTGGACATGTTGCTGCAATCCTGGCTGCACTTTCTGCAGGCTGCCATCCGGGAGGTCCATCGGGGGGCTGTCAGTATCCAGGAGGCCCTGTGAGAGCTTCTACCCTGAGGAGCACTAAGAGTCTCCCTGGTCTGTCCCACTAGGGACATGTGCCTCATTCCTCCCTCACATTCTTCCACTTACCCCTCCCTAACTCCCTTTCCTGATGTCAAATAAAATACACGTATTTTCATGAACACAAACTCTCTTATTTAACTAAACTGGGGGGAGGGAATGAAACTCTGGGGAGGGGGAAACCTTGGAGGAGGGAGCTGGAAGGGGGAAGCAAGGGGAAGAAGGGGGAAGGGAAGCTCAGGGTTGGGGTGTCTTGTCAGACTAACTTGATTGTCATGCAAACCTGCTCCTGGGTTCTCATGTTGCCTTTGGTCACCAGGCTGGCAGCTATCCTACCATAGATGGCCATATCCTAGTGCAGAGATCATGGATGGTGGGGGCAATCCCCCCCCCCCCCCACCCCAAAAGAGCGACTGTC